GTCATATCTAAGCCGGGCTTAGAAAATCACTATATATATATATATATATATATATATATATATATATATATATTTGAACTTTATTTCAATACTTCGTGAGTTTCCGATCCTTAGCTATGATTAATTAATGATGAACATGTCATTTTCGTTTATGATCGATTTCATCATAATATGTCTGTTAAGCATGGCAAGTATACATTTTTCTTGCTCAAAGTAGAGTCCAATAGTGTTATAAAAAATCATTTCTAAGAACAACGGTTCAGAGCTTACTCTAACAATCGGACAATTTTGCTTTTACACGGTTTGGACACTTTTGCTTTTATGCCAGGTATATATAAACACATGTGCACATCAGGTGCTCCAGACCAGCTGATCTCTTCAGCTGAGCGTCGTGCTTCAAAAAAGTTTCGGCCCAATAAGCTCAGTACCTCTCCACACGGTGGACCCGCAACAGCTAGATGATGTTACGTTGCAACCGATCTATGTTGTTAGCTGGACGCGACTCGATACAAATTTCCAGGTAATCCACGCTCTGCCTTCCATCGCTTTCTCGACACAAAACTTTATCACCTTGTTCGACTTTTGAACATATATATTTATATATCGCTTTTGAAAGCGATATATATATATATATATATATATATATATATATATATATATATATATGTGTGTGTGTGTGTGTGTGTGTATGATAGGATAAAGAACAAGTCGGAAACAGATCTCAATCTAACATGTTTCACTTTATTAAAGCATCGTCAGAGATCAAGATAGAAATGATGAAAAAGGATAAAGAGCAAAGAGACTCAGATTAATGGTATGGTGTGTGTTTGGTCATTTATTGTTTATTAGACACGTGTCACGTGTAATGAAGTAACAGATAATATTTAAAGAAGTGTAAGAAAACATTCTGGATACTAAAATGTGTAAAAGTTAGTGAGACGCTGCAGGATGTTTTGAAAATTTTGTTTGGTTAGATTTTTCATTAAAGTATATCTGGTGCGTAATTTGGATATCCATTGATTTTTATGTATTCGGAAGATATAAGTTAGATTCATGAATAATGGATCTGTAGGAAAATGTTGATGCAATGTAGTATTTTAAAAGTGTGTTAATAGTTGGTAATATTGCTATAAATATATTTTCATAATTCTTTTTATAAGGCTGTCATTAGTGAAATATATATATATATATATATATATATATATATATATATATATATATATATATATATATATATATATGTACGTGTATGTGTGTGTTTTGGGTGCGTGTATGTTTGTGTGTGTTTGTCTGAGTGTACGGCAATATATGTTCAGAAAACCGGAATTCAGAATGGTTACAATTAAAAGAAAAGAGTAAAAAGGGAAAAAACTTAAGGAGTGAGTGTAAAGTTAAACAAAAATGTCGAAAATGACAAATAACTATTACATTCTACACGTATGCTTATATGCGCAGACTGGCGCATGTTCGAACGCAGGTGCACGCGCACAAACTCACGCACTCAGGCACGTGCACAAACACTAAGTTGCAAAAAAAAAATGTTGCATCAACGGAAAGTGTGTACGAAAAAGAAAAATAGAGAATATAAGCAGCAAATTGATGATACCCCCTGACGAATGGGTGGAGGGATTCCCGCAGAGTCAGTACACGAAATTTTAAAAGTTGGGATGCTGAAGGTAACATCAATCAATATGTATATATATATAGTTCACCCCCCAGCAGAATTTTGAATCCGGATGCCAAGAAAAGTCAAGTAATTAATACTTCTGGTTCTTCTATTGCAGAGCGTGTTTTAAACAGCAGGAATTGTGTATTTGATTTTAGAGTGGGCCGTTTTTCTATTTTATCGAGGTCCACTCTTCATATAACCACCAGGGTCTACAGTCCTTGTATATATCAGATTTCGCGGGCCTTCCCTCTGTAAACAGAGGGAATACTTACTGGGTCTGAATTTTATTGGATTCAAGCTTTCTTGAAATTCATATTTTTTCCCTCCGTTGGTTATCATTAATATCAATTAAACTTACACGTTTATTTTATATCCCAGAAATAATCCTGATAAGGCTGGGACGAAACCGGTTGTTTTTTAGCTTTTGAAATATAAATTAAAATGCCATATAAATTGTGCTTATTCCTAGCTATCCTTAAATTCTGTACTACAACAAACTTATATATATATATATATATATATATATATATATATATATATATATATATATATATATATATATATATATTATAAGTATAAGAAATTATACTGTTCAGAAAACCTTCAGTGTTTTGATTTGCAAATAATCAAACCAATACCAAAGGGGAAAAAAGGTATAAAAAAGAAAGAAAAAATAACATTGCAAAAAAAATCAGCCAGTCAACCGACTGACCATCTCCCTGAACGACTCCTACTTATTATAGGTGGGAGAGTCTATTAAATATAGAATAGGTGTGTTCCACTATAACACCAAGTCAAAAAAAAAAGAAGCTTTTTGGTGGGAAGGTTCAATCTCTGATGACATATAAATCACCTCCACTATGCTGCCGTGAGCTAATATGAAAAGAAAGGAGGTATAGCTTTCAAACGATCACTCGAAATGTATGCATGTATATAATATAGTCGATTTTTCAGTAAAGTTATCGGTCTGGAGATAAAATCAGTGTTGATAAAAGCCTGAAAACTGGATGACCCAAGGCCTGTGTGTGAAATTGGAAAGTGTCGGTGGTTGCGCTAGCAAGAATCCTCAAGTCATACTGGCCGAGGGGTGGAGCTTACTAGCGTTGTTCAAACGGTTGATCATGCCAGATTATGTACTGTAACGTTTCTTTACGTCTATATTTGCAGTATAAACTAGAGAACAGGAATTGGCTAGCCTTCCTAGCAGACGTGTTTGCTCGGAAAACGAGTAGCCGGCTGTTATGCATGCAATTCTTTATCTAAATGTTATTAAAGGACAGGAATTCTTTGTGATTAGCCCCCAGATTCTTCTGCAAACATCTATTCGAGCTGAAAACTTTCAAAGACTTTTCACATTCTTTATCGTTTATTTTATTGTGAAAGAAAGACAAACGAAAAAAAAAAGATGTATTTGTTATAGAGTGCATTAACTGTGGAAATATTGAACTAATCGTGTGCAGTAAGCAACTTGACCTGTGTTTGCTTCAAGAACGTTTCTTTGTATATATTCCAACATTGTCTTTCGACGGTGATGAACGTGATCCGAAACAACAAACTGACTGTCCAAAAAAAAAAAAACAAAAAAAAATCTGGCACAATGAAAAGAAAAATAGGAAAAAAAAAAAAAAGAAAAAGAGAAATAAAAAAATACACATACAGAGGAAAGAAAACGTTGAAGTATGAAGGGAAGGAGTTAGAGAAAGAGGAATGAGAAAGATAAACAGAGAAGGCAAATAAGGAAAAATCTTAGACTTACTTTTCCTATTAGTTGCTTGCAGAATAATCGAAAATGTCCTTTGTCTTCGCTAAAGCTTGTTTGGCTTCTTCAACTACCTATTATGAAATTAATGGACAAAAGATGTCTTTAAGAACAACTATTCCTCCATTATTACATATAAAATTAATACAGATTTAAATTACTAAATATCACCCAACACAAGACTCAAGAGCCACTCATATAGAGAGGTAGTAGAGATCGTAATGATAAGTGGAGTGTCTGAAATGAATAGAAGATAAGATTGTCGGAAGTGGGCATTAGTAGTATAAATAAGATAGATAACGGTTGATCCCTGACATTAAGAGGTCAAGATGGCATTAAGAGGTCAAGATGAAGCTATTCAAGGAATTCCCTCAACAAAATGGTAGTACTAAGAAAAAAGTGGTCAGAATTTAATTTCCTTGTTATATTTGAAAACCGCGAAAAATAGTATGGTTTGGTTTTTGGTTTGTTTTACGGTATATCAACCTCAATTTAATGCCGACAATTTTTATTGCTGGTAATATTTTTATCAAAATGTATTTCTGGCAATATTTTTTTCTTCAAAAATCTATTTCTGGGAATATTTTTCCTTCAAAAAATGTATAGCTGGTAATATTTTTTTCAAAGATGTATAGCTGTTTGTATTGTTGGTATTTTTTTTTTAAGTATTGCTGATAAACATTTTTCCTTCAAAAAATTATTGCTGGTAATAATTTTTTTTTACAAAGTATTTCTGGTATTAAAACCTATTTTTACACTTTCATAGTATTTTGACCGAAGTTTGAGTGTTAACTATTTGCCCATAGCTGGGACCCTAACAGGTGCTACCACTCCGAGTCATGGTGAACTTGGGGACACCAGTAATTAAGAGGTTTTTCCACGCTCCTCAAAAACTCCTGATCAGAGGCCTTGCTGTCGGGCGCAGTTTATCGTCTTACCCAGGAGTCGGATGTAGTTTATCGTCATACCCAGAACGGGAAAAATAGTATGCAATTACGTAGCATGATTATCTGTAAATATCTAAACTGGTGAAACTAAAACGTTGAACTTTTCTGAACATTTGCCATGGAATTACTGATAGCGTAGCAGCAGGCCTTCAGTATTGTTGAGTCTGTAAGGAAGAGGTTGCAGAGTAGGGGCGAATTAATCTCCACCACAACAGCTTGACCGATTCTGAATTCTCTAATGTTTGGAAAGTTAAAATTGAAAAGTTCTAGAACAAATATATATTTTTAGTCATTTCGCCTCGAGAACAGAGACAATGCCTTATTTTTTTTTTACCCTCAAGAAAGTGATTCATTGTGCCTTCTCGGACGAACATTTTCAGCTGAAATGGAGTGAAAAGAGTATAGTGTTAAGTCTGCAGCTAAGAAAGTTGATTCACTATGTCACGCTAGACAGTTTTTCTCGCTAGAATCTATTTTACATATTTATAAGTCTATTATATTCCTCCTTGGGTTGAATATTGCTGACACATTTGGTCTGGTTCTCCGGCTGGATTCTTGATAAAATCCAAAGAATAATCTACAATGTTACTGGTCCTGACATTAACAAAAAATAACACAGTGGAAGCTATCTTACAGCCGTCGGAAAGTGCTGATAGATAGATAGATAGATAGATAGATAGATAGATAGATAGATAGAAATGAACAGACTAAGATAGGTAGATGTATATGAACATAATAAGTTAAATATATAGATAGACCGATAAATATGAACAGACATATAGAGAGACACATCGATATGAACAGACTTAGACAGATACATACATACATACATTAATAGACAAATAGACAGATATGACAGACTAATATAGGTAGATAGTAAGAATATACTAAGAAACATAGATGGATATGATCAGAAGTGATGATAGATAGATAGATAGATAGATAGATAGATAGATAGATAATGAACAGAATGAGGCAGATAGAGAATGAGCAGAAAGAAGATAGATAGATAGATAGATAGATAGATAGATAGATAGATTATTGGTTGGTAATGACGTAATAATGTCGTTTTTGACGTATTTTTTTAACGTCAAAAACGACATTCTTACGTCATTATTTTTGCACCAACCTAATAGATAGATAGATAAGAACCGACTTAGATAGGTATGAGTGGACTCGGATAGATAGATAGATAGATAGATAGATAGATAGATAGATAGATAGATAGATAGATAGATAGATAGATAGATAGATATGAACAGACATATAGATAGATACATCGATATGAACAGACTTAGATACATTAATTGATAAATAGACAGATATGAACAGACTAAGATAGGTAGATTGTAAGAATATACTAAAATAGATACATTGATGCATATGATCAGAAGTGATGATAGATAGATAGATAGATAGATAGATAGATAGATAGATAGATAGATAGATAGATAGTACGTCAGTGAGTGAGTGAATAAGTGAGAAAGGTCCAGTATAAAAAAAGACTGACAGGGCGAAGTCACTAAGTTGTATATATCAGTTAGTATAGTGCCATTGTTTTTACTTTATGTTACGAGTTAAAACTTTCTTACGAATCCTGTTATAAGTTCGTTTTCAGCTTTGGTTTTAAATTTCATTTCCAAGACTCAACTTCGGAAAACTTTAAGCGATAAGCTAAAATGAAAGAGCATACAGACAATTTAAGTATCAAAACCAGACTGTAAATTGTATTTCGATGTTTCATCGGAAATTCTTTTCCCGAAATTCAATTACCAGTTACAGAATTAGCAACACTGCTTGCCGTCTCACAAGGATATCATCAAATGTCATCCATCATTACAGATAGGACGACGCACAAATAATCAAAGTACTGTCAGTTTTGGAAATACCACTGTCTGTTGAAGCTACTTAAGTTTCGTGAAAACAAAGTTTAAATAAATAAGTGAGATAACTGTAAGGTTTGATGACGGAACTGCAAGGCACTTATTTTTTCCTTCCCTACTAAATGAAGACATTTTTTAATCATTTTGAACGGTTAAGCTTGCTTTTATTTAGGAAATATTATATGACAATTCTACACTATATACTGGGATCGAACCGCATGCATACGGAGAGAAAATGAATTCAATACACAAACGAAAATAAAAATCAGCGTAAAACACGGACTTTTTCAACCTTTACAGTGAAGCAAGGATCAAATCCAGAAATCCTTGTCCGGTACCCCTGCTATTTACCTTGATACAATCCAAAGTAGGATCAGCAATATTATCGGTCCTGATCTGGCGTCTCGGCTTCAGTCACTTTGCCAACGCCATAAGGTTACCTGCCTGTGCGTTTTCTAATAATTTCATGGTAATTTTTCGAATGAGCTCTTCGCTATGGTATTTTTTTTAAGCATTTCACCCCTAGCAAAGAGGGAAGCCACTAGCACGCAAGGGGTTATAGCGGATTTGGAGCGAGAGCAGATAGGAATGATAGAGGAAAGGATGAGGAGAAGGATAGTGGATAGATCAAGGCAACTGGAGATGTCGACTGACATTACATTTGAATAGTTGGAGATTATAGGTCTCAGGGAAACTGGAATAAGGAAGGGAGTTCCATAGGCGAGAGGTGCGGGATATGAAGCTATTGGAGTAGAAGAGCTACATTTAAAAGTTTCAAGAGTGAAATGGTGAGAGCGGGATGCCAGTCTCGTAGAATGTTTGAATTCGCGAAGTCTGGGAACCAGCGAATGCAGCTCATCGGAGCAATTACCATGAAAGTATTTGTAAAAAAGACAGAAAGAGGCGTCTGTGAGAGAGCGACTGCAGACGAGATGCCAGATCAGGGCCAATTATATTGCATATCCGTCTCTGGAACATATCAAAAACCCCGAGGCAAACAGAAGGGGCTCCAGATCTAGACTTGGTGAATTTAAGCGCAGTACTAAACTGGCGTCGAGATGGCTTCAATTTCCCGTTGAGCTGGCTAGATGTAGCTATAAATTCTATGTAAACCGTTTCTTTTCTCGCACATCTTGCTTGTAGAACTCTGTTCCGGTTCCATGCTTTTCAGCCAAATTTAATTTCCAAAAATTTAAATGAAATGCTAATGGCTATCTACTGTCCTCCTGATTACTCTTTTTTTTCCCCCATTCATTAATGTTTCTGTTCCTAATTCTTCCACACCCTGTAACCCCTAGAGTTGTACTACCTTCCTTGGGGTGAAAACGATTAAAAGAAAAAAAAAAGAACTACAAAGACTATGACTGCACTCTCTGTTACTCGTCAATCAGTTATATGCATTGCGTGGTACCCGTTTAGGCGATCATGTATCTTTCGATACATGACTGACGAGGCAGATTTTTTAGCAGCCGCGGCCTTTGACACTGCAGACATCGCCGCTGCCGATGCAGCAAAGGTATCGCGTTTCATTACGGCCCGATTGAGCGTGTGTATTACCGGTTGGCCGCTGCTTTAGTGGTTAGTCTATTGCCGACTTAGTCAAACCTGTTACTCCTACATATGGATAGACCTTATGTAGGGGTAACACCATTTCCATGCAGTATAAGATTAGGCAGCTGCTTGCAATGTTATTCTCTATATTACTGTAAGTATGCGAGACATGGACGCTCACAGCTGTGCTACAAAGAAACTGGAAATGAGATGCTATCACACCATCTAGGGCATCTCATACCTTGACCACATCACCATGGACTAGGTAAGTAGTAAAATCCATCAGCACGTTGCTTCCTCCATACGAAGACCTTCTCAATGTAATGAAGAAAAGGAAGCTGAGATGGTATGGCCACGTAAAACGATCGAATGGCCTTAGAAAGACAGTTCTTCAAAGAACAGATGGTGTGACAGCGGTGGAAGAGAAAGCAGAAGAAAAGGTGGAAATGATAATCTTGAGGGACGGACGGAGAAACCATTCGCGGATACTCGGGCTTTGGTCCACAAATCGCGATAGATGGAAGGTCGGCTTAAGGACGAGAGCTAAAGTAAGCAACCACCAGTATTTATTATTGGCAGCCACAGGGAAAGGAAATTGCGGGAACTCCAGCAGAAAGTAGTAAGGAAGGCAAGGGAAGGAAAGTGAGAAGAAAAAGGACTAAACAAAAATTCTAATTTAAAGACAGAACGTATGGGTTTCAGTCGGCAAAAAGAACAGCCCAACATGCGAATTAGAAATTAAAAATTTAAATATCTAGAAAGTATTTTAACAAAAGAAAGAAAATGCCACAGCAAAATCTAGAGGCGTATTTGGAGAGCGAAAGAAGCCTTCCTAAATTTAAGAAAATGATTAAGAAAGAGAAAAATCCCGTTAGAAACAAAGAAAACAATACCGTATAATACGTAGTGTCAGCCCTCATTCGAAAATTGGAATGAATATATATATATATATATATATATATATATATATATATATGTATATTTCGGATTAAGAATTTTAAAATTCAATTAAATCTTTAGAAATTGTTTTATTTACGTTTCGGATACGAAACTGAGCAGATAAGCGTTTCGTTAAAAATCTGAAAAAAGGGCGCGTGCTTCAAATGCAGATTAGAGTCCTTTTGACTGTGAGGCTCTACAGAGCAGAGCGGGAAAAGTACACCGGAACAGACGGCGGTTCCTTACTGGTAGGTATATTTACTTTATTAAGTTTCTTTTTTTTTTCTCGCGTATACAGGTTGGTAGAAGAAATAGAAACTTTGTAAAATAAAATAAAGTCTGAAGTAATAATAATAATAATAATAATATATATATATATATATATATATATATATATATATAGAGAGAGAGAGAGAAAAGAGAGTCTCATTATCTTTTTATTAAGCATACCTTAAATATTTTATTATATATATATATATATATATATATATATATATATATATATATATATATATATATGTGTATATATATAATTCTATGAGAATTGGAAAACCGTTTCATCAAATTACCTAAATGGCTTTCCATTTATGATATTTTTTTCAAAACTTTGCCGGGATTGTATATCCTATTTTATATTAATTTCTTTTAAGTATTTCACCCCAGGCAAGGCAAACTAGGACGCAGGGTGTTACAGGGAATGAATGTAAGAGAAAACACTAGTTATAGTGGTGATTTAGGAAATGAATAAAAGATGAACGGGGTTCAAATCAACAGAAGATGGTGGTTGACCCTGCATTTAACGTTCGAAAATTGTAGTTGTCAGGTTAGAAAGTAAGAGAAAGGGATTTCCACAGTCTGGAAGTAAGAGAAAAGGAACTGTTGGAGTAGAAGTGGTGGCTGTATTTAATTATTTCAGCGGTAAAAAGGTGGGACCTTGATGCCAATCTAGGAGAACGTTTGAATCTATGTAGTCGGAGCACCAAGTTCGTCGGAGCAGTTGTTATGAAAACATTTGCAGAAAAGACAGAGGGAAGCCACATCACGTCTATGGGAAAGTGACTGAAGTCGAGATGACAGGTCAGAATCGATTACATTGCAGATCCTATTTTTGGATTTTGTCGGGAACCTCGATATGAACAAAAGAGGCACCAAACCAGATATGGCAACAGTATTCAATGCATGGAAAAATGGTAGATTTATAGATCTGTAACATGGACTCCGATGAGAAAAACCTTCTGGCACGACACAGTGAACCAGCATTCATTGCAGTAGATGCAGCTATTAATTCAATGTAGTTGTTCCAGGTCGAGTCAGTCGAATAACCTGATGCCAAGAAGGCGCAGTGGGACGCTTTCCCGCAGTCGAGCACCAACCATGATGGTGGTAGACAGAGAAGTTTCTCTATGGTAGTTAAATAATACACACACACACATACACACACACACACACACACACACACACACACACATATATATATATATATATATATATATATATATATAGTAGCAGCATGGCTCGGCGTTGCCCGTGCTTGATTTAAAAATCGTACGACTCATACAGCAACCGCTATCACTTGACCTAAAATATTTTTGCCCTTCCTTGCCTTTAAAGGAGTACCCTTTGCCGTGCTGATGTTGCTACATGCCTTACTTCTTGCCTATCTCACACTGCGATTTTTTTCTAAGCTCTATACTAAACATTAAATCTCTTACGAAAAAAGAACCAAACAAAATGAACAAAACGATCAGCTTTAAAAAAGGACTCGTAACTGGAAAAACCAAATGAAAAAAGAATGTTAACAACAAATACTTAGTTCTGCGGAATAAGAATCAACGTTGAGTTTAAGGAAGCGAATGAGCCAATTGGAATAAAGTGCCATGCAGATTGGAATTTTTCCCACTTGTGACGAATGCAGCTATCGATTTTTTTTTTGCATGCTACCATGCTAGTTAACATTCGTGTCAGTGAGCTGTTGGCTCTCACGCTGGCCAATAGAATCTTCCTGCCTATTCGTGGCAGGGCAGCCAGTTATTGGCTCTCACTCTGGCCAGTAGAAAATGAGTGCAAACTACATGAAAACTGCCGTAGAAGCATGAAAAAATCGATTATTTCCACTATCGTTGAGAGTTGGGAAATGCAAAGTCGGTCTTGGTCTTTCCGCTAACTTGGAGCATGTGCATGTAAATTTTGGTGCAAATCCGTCGAAAATTGCGGGCGTGCATTCGTTACACACACATCCTGCCTTTTATAGATAGAGATATATCCACATATAAAGTGTTCCCAATTAACAAAAGCATCATTAATCAAATTAAAAATTAGTTGAAATAGATCGATTTGTTGCAGAATACTTATCCAGTATGCAGAACATTTTCATATTATATATGTAATAACTTGAAGCACTGTCAGCGTTAAGGTTCATTGATGATGTTTGATGAATTTGTCAAGTATCCCCTGGCGTCATCACGTATTGATAAAATCGGAGTAGGTACCTTATAGAAAAAACAGCCAGATTTATTTTTCTTGTATGAAACGAAGCGCTAATAGATTTAAATGTGTCAGTCCTTCCTGATTACTCACATCGTATTTTTTTGGCGGGTGGGGGGTTAGAATTTTATACGCCTTAATGAAGCATATAATTATATAGTGAAAAAATTATCCACAGCATAGCACCTAAATCAATCTAAGTGAGGTGAAGGCAGTCATGTTATAAGTAATTATATTTTTATCACTCTGAGACAATTAAATGGTTTGCTGAACGAAACAGATGAGGCACCTTGGCGCAGATTAATGGTTACCAAGTCTAGACCGATTGACCATTATAACCTGAATAGTGACGTCAATCCTCACTGTACGTCTCATACAAAATTCGACATCAAATTACCCAAGACTTGTTGATATAGAGTAAAAACAACCAACTCGGTACAGGAACTAGTGGCAGATAACTTATTGGGAATTTTCAGGATTACATAAATATTCGTTTACCATAGTTAACCCACGACGACCCAGTTAACCAGATTTAACAGTAGTGATTTTCCAAGCGAAAATAAGAATCAATCGAACTCACTACTCAGTCGTAGTTGAACTAGCGAGACAATCTTCTAACCATTACGCCAAGTCAAAGTGCCCTGAGCATTTCTTTCTGCAGTAGACCAGTTACCATCCAAGGCTATAGAACTCGGTCTGTCCTGCTATTTACCCATAGCTGGGGGAAGATGAAGAGGATTCATACCTTTCCTAAGGGTATTAGCACGTAAGTGAATGTTATGGAATTCGAACTCGGCTCTCCGATTCCTCAATCCGAGCCGCTATACGGTACCTCTTCAACCAGATTTAACAATAAGTTCTTTTGTTTAGCGAAACAAAGTAGATATTTTGTAGGCACTTGCAAATTTATATTATGTATATGTGTGTGTGAGCGTCTGTGTGTTTGTCTGTTTGCCTGTGTGTCGCAGATATTTGATGTTATTTACCTTAATTTCAAATAAAACTAGATAAAATAATATCCCCCAGATGGAGGTGAGCTGGATATGAATAAGTTTGATTTTATTTTATTGGATCAAAATAAGTTTAATTTTATTTTTTGTTATATGCGGGACTCACCCGTCGAGTTCGACGTATGAGGTTCCGACAACCACGAACTAATTATCTGCATGACTATGACGGGCATGACTTTTGAGACCAGCTCGAGAATTTCACAAAAAACCACAAAGAGTACAAGGGAATGTATTGTATCCAAGTGCAGCAGAAACACTGTTAGATGTCTTATTTTGCTTTCCTGTTTCACGCAGTCGAATGATGCTTACTTCTTGATGGTGTATTATTCCTGAATGGCAGCTAGAACGATACTCGGATCTCTTCATAGTTACCTCTTTGATGTTCCCGAACGGAATGTTGACGCAAGAATGGTTGCTCTTCAGTTTATCCCTATACCTGAGCCAAGGTCTACCAACCTTTCTATGACCAATTAATAAAAATAACTATGAATACACCACAAACGTTTTAAA